CTCGAGTTCCGTGCAATGGCGGGGACTCAGTTCGACAACGATGTTTTCGGACGAGTGCTGTACTTTCTTTGCGGCTGGTTCCTGTTGCTTGTCATTCTCCCCGTGGTCGGCGCGATCTATCCTGACACAATGTACTGGAAAGAAGTGCTTGTTGGCATGGGGTCCATCACTTGCTGTTGTTGCTGTACATTTATTGTTTTTCCCCTCTGCTGCTGCCTGGCTCAGCGTGAGCGCGTGGAGCCCGGGGCAGAGAGGCAGGAAATCTGGTCTTCCGTGGTCTTCAATTCTATGGACGGCCAAGGCCAAGACTTCGAGCTTATGAAGCTTCAGACTGCTCCAAGCGGTCCAGTCAAGACGGTTCTGGGAAAGATCTCGGTGGCATCAAAGCCTTGCATTGCCGGGAGCACATGTTCATGTTGCCTGGAGGACTTCTCCGCAGAAGATGTCGTGGCCCGCCTGCCATGTGGACATGTTTTCCACGAAAAGTGCATCATGAACTGGTTTCTGATGCGTGCGTCAAACAATTGCCCTATGTGTCGCTCGCGCGCGGCAGAGGCCAATGGCGCGGAGCTGTGCTTGATGGACGTACCCTGATGGTCCTGGGATGCCTCGGTCCACGACACTCGCGATGGCTCCGGATCACTTCAAAGCTCCGAGCAAGTCTTGACAAATGCTGCTGGAGATTGCAGTGTTCCTTCTGCCAAACCTCCTTTCCAAAGTTCCAAATTTATCCAGCCGCTCGTGCCGGCTTACGTTCCAGCTGTTTCACAGTCTCACCGGCCGTTCTCGGCTTCGGAGTTGCTTTTGACCCATTCGGCCCTTGAGTTGCGTGTGGCATGTGCTGTGCTAGCTGTTTCGGCTTCTAAGTAGATGCTGGCCGAAAAGACGTTAAGTCTCGTGCTGTCGAGACTTCATAAGTATGGCGTTACGCAGGGCAAGTTGGAGGTCGAAAGCGACCTGCAAGAGTATCATTTATCAAAGCGAGCTCTTTGGGGCTCTAGCGACACTTGCTACCGTATCATATCATATTGAATTTCAGGATCACGACTTGTGGATGATGTTTAGATATCAGGGGTTGGACGTGACTTAACAGCATTTAGTGAAATGAAGGCAGCAATATCAGCTGCGCAGAAAAGCGCGCTCAATCAGCCTTTTCACACATTCATCGGCCTACTGGTGTGATTCGTTTCCAGTCTTGTTGTCACTGCTTTGCAACAAAAGCGCGCTCTGCACCTTGTCTCCTTGCGGTTTGTTTGGTCCCCTGCCCCATCGTGCTTCTGGGTACATCAACGCATCTTCTCACCGGTACAGCAGGCAGACTTACGCCATGCACCGTGGTGCCCAATGTGCTCACCACTCCCAGCCTACGTTGGGGATGTTGGGAAAGATTTCGGTTTGTTTTAAATATGTCAAGGTCGACAGCTGACACTGGGAGCAGTGTCTTTGCATAGGTATGAGGCTGGGTTTAGATCTTGGGGCTGTCGGGACTTTCGAGCTGAGCTTCAAGCCTGCTCGTTTGGAATCTAGGGTTTGGTGGCAGATAAGTTGACTATAGGCGAAGGGCAGGACCAGCCCGTGGAAGAAGCTTTCGAGAGGCGCCTCTCAAAGCTGGGTGGCATCGACTATCTCGCAGAGCTGCTGGCAGGCGGCCCTGCCTGGCAGAGGCGAGAATTGAGAACCTTGCACGGGGCTAGGAGCTTGTGAGCAGTCTGCTGTTGCACTGTACAAACCTGGGTCATGGGTTCCACACCACAAGGAAATCATACACTGCCAAGCTCTGCTGGCGCTAAGGATTTTGAGCATGTTCGGGTGTCCTTGGGTTTATAGCTGAGAATGTGAGGTCCGCAGCAGGCATTGATGAAACAGAGCTTTGTGCCTCGTGGACAGGTCTCATCTTCGGAAGTTGTGTCAGGGCAACCAAGCATTTCCGTCCAACGATATGACTTTTGCAGGTATCCTAACCGGACTGCTGACAAACCCATCATTGCAGTGGTCCGCGGTCGACAGGACAGAGCTCCGAGGAGCCAATTTGTTTTTTTTTTCTGTCTCTCGTTGTGTGAAATCCCGAGGAGTTTGGTCCGCGGGCTTTGGGCCACCGGTCGCTGCTGGCAGTGCCGGATTCCGAGGACGGAAGAGGTCGAGGGCGGAGAGCCCATCAAAGTCCAAGACGCTCGGGCAACGGCACGGCATTCAGGCAGAGTCTCACGTCATTTTCGGAGAGCTGAGGGAGTCTGGGCAGGAGATGCGAGACCGCATGAACCGGCTGAAAGCCCGAGTTTTGGCAGCAGCGAAAGCGGCTAGGAAGCGAAGAAAGCAGAGGGCCCGACTGAGCTCCGCACCTTCCTGCACCTTAATTTCACACTGTACCGCAAGTGCCCAGGAGCCTGGTATCGGCCCGTTGCACCCATGGTAGCGGACGAGGCCCATGATCCCAGATGAGAACCGCTCGAACTGGCACTCCAAAGCCCATAGGTTGTGGTTTAGGGTTGAGACACGATCCACAAGTTACAATCACCATTGAGGACTTTGTGATGAACTGGTTTTCAGGGCACCTTTGCTGATAAATACTTGCAGTACAAGGTTCCAACTGTTCCGTGTGTTTCTTGTGACATTGGCGCACGCATCGTGCGTTTCGGGGAATGCAGTTTGTCGGCCAGAACGTTACGTTACATTCTAGGGCGTTTGTCAGTAATCCTACTTGACCTGCCTCCAGGCCATGGTGCAGGTGTTTGGTCGAGCCGTCCACTCGCCGTACATGCACCTTCGATGCATAGACGCAGAAGCCTCCGTTTGAAGCCCGACCGCCGCAGAGGACCATGGCGCCTCAAGTTCTGCCCGAGATCCGCAAGCAATTTCCGGCCATGGCACATTTGGACGGCACCGCCAGGACAGCCAAGCAAAGGAAGGGCAGTTCCAGATTGAGAATAGTCTCCCAGTCTGCCCAATCTGCACACCAGAAGTATCCAGAGTCACTGCATCTCGTGCTTCTGGTTCTGGGAGTGCTTTTCGCACCTTGAGTTTTGCCAGGGAATTCCGTGATGACACCCCTTTGCTTGAACAGAGAGAGGTCATGTTCTGCAGTAGGCTGATGTGGTTAAAGAAACCAGATCAAGTACTGTGGCCGGGATGCGATCTTGAAGTTGCCCGGGAAACCAGCTTCCTAGCCCTTGGGATCCACTCTAGCCCTGCCGTAGCTGCGAGGCATCAATCTGTGCCTCGACTGCATCCGCCGCCACCAAAGGCGTCAGTGCTCCACCGTGCGTGCCGCACCCTTCCTTCGTGCGCTCTTTGCAAGGGATCGCTCTCCCATCCCAGGTGAGCGAAGGTGACGAACCATGGATTCACGCCCTTCTGATGCTCGGCAGATAGGAAGATCCTTCCGTAGATCTTGTAGATGCTGTACATGCTGGAAGTGCGGGTTCCCATCTCTGATCCGATGGCGCTTGCTAGTGCATGCACTCTGAGCAAGAACGGCGATTTCACAGCTTCACAACGGCCCGCAGTCAGTCTAGTGGAGTTGTCGATGCCGGTCAGGCCATGTTTGAGGCCTCGAGCCCTCAAAAGAGAAGCCTTCGAAACTCAAAACACTCATCGCAGCAAATCCTGACTTCCCCACAATCGAAATAGTCTTCCTAGCTGATCCCAGGCTGGCTGTGGGTCGTCTGACCGGCCTAGCGGCTCTGATCAACACGAGCTTCAACTCCAAGGGCAAACCCATCGTGAACCGAGCCTTGACACTGACACGGAGAGTTTCGGAAGTTGTCCCGTCTTTGCGGGAGGTTCCGGTACGGGGGCTTGAAAGAACCGAGCGTTTGCAGTGCCAGCGCCGGCCCCAAATGCCTTTTGCGGGACGGCGGGATTACTTCAGTGCTGCCCCTAACGCGGTACGGCTAGAGCTGCTTATTTCCGGCAGCTTGCAGTGTACACATCGGAGTCGGCCTGCTCAGGCGCAAGAGAATGCCTGAAGATGCTGGATGAGCTTCCAGACTTAGACTTCGTCTTGATCGAAGATTACCTCTTTGCGAAGAGGAGACCTCGGAGCCCCTTGGGGACCGCCTGAACCCTGGGCCCGGCGCAGAAGGACCTCGACACAATTAGGAGCCCCAAGCTTCCCAGAAGGACCTCCGACCTCAGGGTTCAGGACTGGTCCCACCCCCCCCGCCCCGCGACGTGTCCGGAAAAAGATGTCTTCCCTGGAGGCGTGCAGCGTACTTCCTGACCCAACTGGCTTACACACGACTTGCTACATGCTTGACTCGCAGAGGTAGGTGGAGAAGCGGGGCACCATGGACCATGTGCGTGCGAAGCTGAACGACAAGTAGGCACTTTCCGAAGTGTACGTGATTTCGACTTAATTGCCGCCCTCCACAGACCCTGTCGCCCACCAAGCGAATACGACAGCCATGCCATTTCTCAAGGCTGAATCCGTGTGAATGCAACAGCCAACCTCAGCACCTTAATTCGCAATTCACAATGGTCGATGCGCTGGATGAGTTGGACCACCAGCTGCTGGAGACCGAGCATGCATTGCAAGCTATCGAGGCGCAAGACATGATTATCTAATTATATAGGTTCCACTGCATTGCATGAATCACGAAGTTCGTTTGCCTTTGCACTCTTTGTGTTGTCGTCGAGTTTCTGCCTTGGGTCGGAGGCTCAGCTGCGAGGAGAGGCGGCACCTCTGGAACTGCCCGTCCAGCGAGGCCCGGCGGGGGGGTCTCAGCACGGAGTGTGCGGCACTGGAGTAGGTCGCGCCGCGGCATCAGCAGAGCAAGGGTGTTGATGTCTGCGGTTTCGAGAAGCTCTGACACCGCGACAGACAACGATTGCGCTTCATCGTTGCACATGGCTTTTCGCTCTTGTTACTATCCCTTCCCTGGCTCCAGGTCGGGCCCGATTACAGGAACAGGCGGGCTCATGAGACCATCGCGAAACGGTGATCTGGCTGTGCCCCTTGACCAGATTCCTGGACGCTGGTGCCGCGCCGCCGCCTTGCCGACATGGAGGCGCCTGCGGTGCAGCGCCCCGGTTCTGCTCGAAGCGACACCCTATGTGCATGCGCCAGGACAGGCCCGCGCAAAAACACTTCGACAGGCTGCGCTCAAAGAAGTCTTGTCGATGGGCGTGGGTCAGAGAGCTCCTTCTTGGGCTCTCGAAGCCTCGAAGAGAACTTTGCAGGAGCCAAAGGCCGCTCCCGCCTGGGCGGCCGCTTCTCCACGGAGGCAGCACAGCAAAGGCTGCCAAAGATTCCCAAGCTGCGCTCGTTTTGGAGGCGCGCTGGCCAGCGAAACGCCTCGAAGAGGCGGAGGCTCAGCTGCGAGAGATCACGGTGAGCATTCCGTTTCTAACTGGCTTCGTGCTGCGGCTCCGCATGACCACCCGAACTTGCCAGGCGCCTCTCCTGCATCCATCCGACAGCTTCTTGTCGACATCCGTCGTCAGCAAAGGCATCTGTCCTCGATGTAAAAGCTAGCTGGGATGTTCCAGGCGATGGGCTTGCGGCATTGTGTTCGGCGTTCAATGGCATGGCCTGTGGTGAAATCCTCGGAAGCAGTAGCGGTACCAGTCAGTCGCTTGGAAGAGCCTTTGAATGGAGCAACCTACCCCCATGAGACAAAGTCCACCAAACTCCTCGTGGACAGGTGCCGTCATCGCCCCGCCTGATTCCCTGAAGCCTCGGCAAATCCAGGAGGCGTGAGGGTGATCTTTTTGGTCTTGTCTGCCGTGTGTAACAGAGTTTCGTGTCAGACTTTCGGCTCCACGGCAGAGCTTCAACCTTTGCTCCAGCAATTTGCGCAGGCTCGCCGTTGGCTGAAGCACATCGCCACAGAAACGAACTCGAAGGACGACTGCTTGCGGCCCTTGGCTCCCAGGTTTCAGACTGGCCGTTTCGGGAGCTACGTGGGATCAGGAGGCTGCGGCCCACTTAGCCAAACCCGGCCTGGAAGGCATCGCAGCCGCATGGCAGGTGCGAGTGGACTTAACAAAGCCTGGCCTTGATAGTAACTGCTTGTGGTTGTCTATCGCCGCCGAATCAGTTTGTTGTTGTGCGTGCTACGTTGAGTTGTCTCAGACATTCAGAGAGCACTCAGTCTCATGACTGAGATTCGGATCAGCATTTTAGCCTTGACTCCTGCCAGGCACTGTTACAGGAGGAAGACACCTGCCAAGCGCGGCGTGGCCGAGAGATTTACGGTTGGGTTCAAGATGGTTCGACCGGCCGACGAGTGCTGCTTTCCTGCTTGCAACTTTGGGCTAAGGGCGGGTGATGACTTCCTCGACGATGCTAGCACTGCTGCTGGCAGTGACCTCTCCGAGCCCCTCAGCTTTCGAGACTAGGGCTCAGGTAACTTAGGTGACTAGAGAGCCTTCTAAGTCAAAAGGCTCTAATCACCTAAGTTACCTAAGTCCTAGAGCGCCCTGTTAAAGCTGGTCAGCTCGAGAGGCGGAGAGGAGAGTCGAAGTCTGGAGGCTGCTCTCTGTGGGCTCTGTGGAATCTGCTGGACCCGGTCCAGGAGCCTACGAACCGCCGCTGGGAAGCGCAGGGAAGCAGCTCTTTGTGTCACAAGACCGGATATATTCTCTTTGTGCTTTTATGCCCTGCGTGCCCCGCTGCTACTTGCTTGCCGCATGCTACCTCGGGCGCCACAGTTTGGCAAGTGAGTATCCACAGGTGCAGCCCAGATTCTCGCGGAAGGGTCTCCAAACGGGTACGTCGCTGGATGAAACGGTGCCATCCACCTGCCCTTTCTATGGCAACGTTTGCAGGTCTGTCGCACGTATCAGTTGAGGTCGACTAGGTTTTCACTGTGCTTGCGTGCTGTTACAGGCATACTCTTCTGAATCCTTGGGCACACTGCCAGCTAGTGACTTAGTGGCAGCATCATGCACCAAGGAAGTTCGAGGCACTCCGCCCATCCTTGGCAAAAGGGGCACCAAGCTTTGATCGTCACTCGGCGCAGTTGTGGCAGCAACACACCTGTTTGTGGAAGGTATCTGGTGTAACGATATTGGGTCAGAATTCTTGTTGCCAGTGCTTTCAAGCTTCCCTTGAGTTTCTCCAGGCTACCAGGCCCGCGCGAGGCCGCAAGAGCCCCCTGAGGAGGCCAGGTGGTCTTGGAGCTTCCTTTCCTTCCGTGTCCCGGGATGTTTCGGTTCTTTTTGTTGGGGAAGAGTGTGCTATATATATATATATATGTATGACTAGCATGACTTCATGATTGGCTCAAGCTTTTGAGGGTCAAGTTAGATGGCCCTTAGTCGCCCTCTTCAACTTTCGTTGGTTGGGGGATCGCTCGCTTCGATAGCTCTCAGAGCTGCAGAAGAGCTCTTCAGTGGCCAGGTTCCCGAGATCTCTTTTGCGGATTGCCCCCTCTGCCCTACGACTTTGGAAGTATCGGGGTTTCACCTTCCGAGCTTCTTCTGGGGCATTTTGGCAGGGCTAGCTCTGGGGCCGCTGATCGACTTGGTCTGCATCCTTAGGGTTAGTTGGGGTAACTTCGTTCGTTTGCGTGTGTTTGGCAGGCAGGGAACTCAGCTCTACCGCGTCCTTTCATGAGTCGTCGCGACTCCTCCGACCTCCGTTTTTTCGCTGAGGCTATAGAGGACCTTTCCCTTGAGGTACGCCGGCAAGGCCTGCTTTTGAACCGAGTGGTGTCAGCTCTTGAGCGGCTCGATCCCGACTTTGACTTCGAACGGGTCAGCTCCGCGCCCCTTTCAGAGCCGCCTGACCTCACCCCTAGGGTTTCTCTTGGGTTTAGTCCCCGCTCTTCCGCTGAGCTAGGCCCTAATCCCGAACCCCGCCGTGGACTTTCTTCCCAAACCTCTGTACCCCTTGCAGCGGCCGCCGCCGCCAGTTCGGACCGACAGGTTCGCCGGGAGCCCGCCTCGTCATCCTCCCAAACCCCTTCGGGTACCCTAGGGTTTAGTCCTGCTAGGCCCGCTGCTGACTCAGGTTTTAATCCCGAGCCCCGCCTTGGACTTCGGCCCTCCCCTCCGGCTGCGTCACTTAGCGCTTCGGCTGCTGCTCCGGCTGTTTCTCGCACTGCGTTTCAGCCTGCCTCCTCGCCTGCGCAGGGCATCACTGAGGAAGAGAGGAGGGCTATTGCAAGGGAGATAGGTGGTTTCTTTGCCCGGGCTGTGGCTGGTCAGTTTCGAGGCCAGAGCGGCAGGAGCAGGAATCCTTTGAAGTCTCGACTGTACGTGGTTGTTCGTGGCGCCTCCGGCGAGGACTTTCGTCCCCCGATCCTTTGCCAGACCCTTGCTGAGGTGCGGGGCTATTGCGAGGAGGAGGGTCAGCTGAGAGATAGTATCTTCTGCGGCTTCCCTGCCTTGTGGGAAGCGAAGCTTGCTTGCGAGTCGGCTGGCTTGCCTTTGCCTGCCTACAGGAACGATGTCCGAGGCCAGTGAGGATTCAGAGGCCAGCAGGCCCGACCGCCCCTTGGAGTTGGGCTACGTCTACACTGGTGGCACTACGAATTTCAACTTCAGTGTTGGCGCCCTCGCGGTTGGCGAGGAGTCAAAGACTGTTGCCATTGCTTTGATCACTGACTATGAGGACCGGGTTGTTGTTGCACTGCCTAGCAAAGCCTGGGACAAGAGGGTGAAGCATCGTAAAGTTTCGAGCCCTTTTGCTCGCCCTTCCCTGGTCCAAGTTCTTGCTGCTGCTCCCGATGATCGTGAGCAGCCTGCCGATGCTTCAGTTAAAGTTTGGATCGGTCTCCTCGCTCGACAGGTTGCTGCTGCGGTGGTCTTTGGAGGACCCCCGGAGGAGTGCGACGTCCCTTTCCTGAGCCTGGAGTCCTCCCCTTGCCTTCCTTTTGCAGCTGCTCTGGTGCAAGTTGCAGATGCAAAGTTTGGTTTTGCCACAGCTCGTTCGGGAGCCGATGCCTCCCATGAAGCCCGCCTCAAAGCTATTGAGGCTTCGCTTGAGAAACTTTCCCGTACCGTCTCGGCTGCAGTTGGTGGCGGTGCTCCTGCTACTAAGGTCCCCGCTCCTCCTAAGCTAGGTGCCAGAGCAAAGACGAAGGCAGGCCGTCCTCCTGAGTCTGTGCCCGGAACCCCGCTGCCGAGGGGCGCCGCCCGTGAAGTCCCTGGCCTTGATCCCGCTGTCGTCCGAGCCGCCTTGGATGCTGGCATCAAGACCGGTGAGCTCGAGGAGCTCAAATCCCTGCTTGGCGAGAAGCGGTCAGCCCTTCGCGATTTCCCGCCCCGGAGGAATGAACTCGATGAGGTCGACGGTCCCCTTGGTGACCAACGGTCGGGGCGTCGGGCTCTGAGGCCCCTTCTGATGGTGCTGCCGGTGCTGGCGTGGGCTCCTCTCCGATCGAGCACGCCGTGGTGGCTCTGACTAAGATTGTCGGTGAGCTCTCTCGCGGGAAGCGCTCCCCCGACAAAACGAATCTCGAGGCTGCCTTGGACAAAGCCGAAGGCTTCAGTACTGGTGCAGAGGGTGCCCTGAGCTCGTCTTCCGGGTCCCGCTCAAAGTCTACAGCCTATCGTATCTTGAAGGAGACTGTCAAGTCTGGCCCTGCACAAGTCTATGGTGCCATCGAACGGCTTCTCGAAGAAGATTTGCTTCACCGGCAGCTCGGCGCTGGACTTGCCGACGCAAGGGCCTCCTCCAGGGGGTGGTTGGAACATCGATCGCACCTTTCGTTGTATCCGACTACTGTGCGGCTCCTTTGGGCTGTCACGGGGATATGGGACTGCCTAAGGGCAGGCCGCCACGAGGAGGCACGCGCCAGAGCGGCGCTAACCGTCGCTGCCGCTGACCAACAAGCTCTGGACGGGGGGTCGTGGGTCCTTGCTGAGCATTTTCTGCTTGAGCAGGGACCCCCCCTTTCTGCCTTTGCGAATCGCAGGAATACCCAGTACGAGTCGGTTGATAGCTATCACTCGCGAATCTTTGAGCCCGTTGGGCAGAGCTATGTCTTCACAGAGTTCGTGAGCTTGAGCAGCATCTCGAGGCTAAGAAGAAGCTAGGGGGTAAAGGCCGTCCTGCTCCCCCTTCTGCCGCCGACTCGCAAGGAGATCCGAAAGCTGACAAGCCCGAGCGTCCGGGTGGCAAGGGCGCAAAAGGCCCCTCCGGGGGTCAGCCGAAATGAGTTTCCTACGGTGTGTTCGTTGTGCGCTCTGGGTGCAACTGTGGGCCGACCTGATGGCTGCTCCCGGAGCGCTTGCTTCTACAGTGGTCCCTTCGGACCTGTGGCCCTCCTTGGGCGATTTTCTGCAGCGCTTCCCCGAAGTGCACCGCACCTTCACAACCAGCTCTCCTTGTGACTTGGGGCCTGCGTGTCCCTCTTCGTTCTTTCGCCGCTCCCTTGCTGAGGTCGGCCCTTCTTTGAAGTACAGTCTGACACCCACGGCGCCGAAGAATGCATCGCCATGGTTCTGGATTTTCTTTCTTCTGAGCCCTGTCACAGGGTCACGCGGGGTCCTGGCACCTCTTTCCTTTGTGCCGCCTTCACCGGGAAGTTGGCGGAGGCTTCAGCCCGAGCCTGGGCTCGGATAGCTCAGGCTGTGGACATGTGGAACGCCCAGCCCCCAGTCACTGCAGGAGACATGGGCAGGACAGCCGTCAAGGTTGAGAAGGTTGAGGCTCAGGTTCGCGCTTTAGTCGTCGTCGACCCCAACGCTCGCTGCTCATCTCTCCCCGACCTCAACCTAGCAAAGGACGTCGAGGTTTCTCGGGTTAGCTTGCCTAAGAGCCGTCCCGCCTTCGACCCGGCTCCTTTCTTGGACAAGGATCTTCGTTCGCTGTACCTCAGCCCAAGCCTCCACAGCATACGCCTTGAAGATGCTCCTGCCCCTCCACCTCGTGTCAACTTCAGGTGTCCCTCCAAAGCTGCTCGAATGGATTTGCTGTCTGCTTTGGATGCATCCGGCCGCCTCCGTCTTTTCAGAGGCGACTTACGCGACCATCGCACTGCCTGTGGGCTGTTCGCAATCCCTAAGAGTACAGAGGCCGACAGGCTCATAGTTGATGCCCGCCCTTCCAATCTCGTCATGGCTTCGGACATGTCCTGGCTTGGCACCATGGGGGCGGCCTCTGCTTTGCTTCGGTTTGAACTAGAGGACTCAGAGCAGCTCTACTTGTCAGGTGAGGATATCAGAGATTGTTATCACCAGTTCCTCGTCACGGAAGACCGCTCAGCCCACTACCGGCTCGTGGGTTTCTACCCACCTGCCTCTCTGCAGCACCTTTCTTGCTTCACCGCCGACCTCATGCAGGCCCCTTGTGTTGTTGCAGCCCTGAACTGCATGGCTATGGGTGACGTCAATGCAGTCTCGATAGGACAATCAAGTCATATCGGTCTCGTGCTTTCGACTGAGCTGGTCTCTTTTGAGCAGTTGGTGTGTTTGCGAAACCCCCCTCCTCGGCAACCCCTCGGGCTCGGTGTCATTATTGACGATCTTATTATCATTGAGAAGGCCGCCCGAGGACAAGACTTCGACCCACAGTCCTGCCACAGCCCCCGCATCGTTGCACGGATGCACGAGGTCTACTCGTCGGTTCGTCTGCCGCGCCACGACAAAAAGGGTTTCTTCATGGAAAGTCGAGCTTCCTTCTGGGGGGCCGACGTGCTCGGGGACCTAGGGCTTGTGCGTCCGGCCTGGTCTCGCTTGTCCCCACTCGTGTCCCTGACCCTTGCGGTGATGGAGCTCCCGGCGCTGTCGGTTTCTCTTCTTGAGGTATTGGCCGGGTCGTGGGTTTCCGTGCTCTCTTTTCGGCGTCGGGCCCTCTGTTTGCTCGACCAGGTCTTTATGCTTCAGCGAGGTCGCGGCCGCTTTGACTTGGTCGAGAACACCGTTGCCCTTCGAGTGGAGTTGTACTCTTTGTGCGCCCTTGCGCCCTTGATCCGCACCGACCTTCGTGCGAAATCAACTGGGCTTATCGTTGCGTCTGATGCCTCTGACGACTTAGGTGCCTACGTCACCTGCCGGGTTGCCCCCGGCCTCACCCGTGAGCTGCTGCGCCACGTGCCTACGAAGGGCCTCTGGGCGCGGCTTCTGTCTCCTTCAGAGAGTCTGCTGAAGCGTCGCGGTTTTCTGCCTCCTGAGAGTGAACTGCCGGGCCAGGTGTACCGCACGAGCCCGCTGTGGACTCAGCTTGCTCAGGCACTTGCTTTCCGACTCGGTGCCGTGTTTCGCAGGCGCCGCTCTGACCACATAAACTTGAAGGAGATGGACTCCTACTTGGCTGTTGAAGCAGCTCTTGGTTTTCGTGACTGGGAGTCCTCTCGCTCTCTGGCTTTGCTGGACTCCCAGGTTTGCCTTGGATCTCTCCTCAAAGGGAGGTCTGCCTCTTTCTCCATCAATCGCCGCCTCCGATCTGCACTCGGCGGCCTTCTTTTCTTCAATCTGCATCCCTCCTGTGCCTATGTCGCATCGGCCGACAATCCTTCCGATGATCCCACTCGTCTCGCGCCGCTGCGGCTTCCTGCCATCCCCGAGCCTACCTGGCTTAGGCTTGCGGAGCGTGGTGATTTCTCTGCGTTAGATTCTTTCCTTAAGGAGTGCAACTTGCATCCCCTTCAGGTCCAAGGTTTCGACACCCTTGCCGAGAAATTTGCCGCTCGCGACACTTCCCCTTGTGACTACAACGAGCCTTCTGCTAAGCCTGACCAACAGTCTGCTGCTTGCCTCCCCGGCTTCTCTTCCAGTGGAGCTGCTCAGACCGAAGCTCCCGGCGCTTCGGGCCCTGGATTTGGGCCAAGCGTCGGCTCTTTCTTGCACAGCTGCTCTCGTCGCCAGTTTCTTTGGCCCGCAGGCCAGCGACCTTCCCAGCACTCTGGCCCGTCGACCCCTGGCTACTTGTGTCTTTACGCTGGAGCACGAGGTGTCGCGAAAGCTGCGGTGAAGGTCGGTTTCCCGTGGTCCCTCACCTTCGACTGGCTCCACGGTGCACATCAAGACTTGCTGGATCCTGGCCTGCAGGAGCGCGTGCTGGAAAGCCTTGCAGGGCACGCCTTCAGTGCCGTGGGCCTTTCTCCAGGGTGCCCCACTTTCAGTGCAGCTGTTCGTCCTCCCCTTCGAAGCCTGGACTACCCTGCCGGCCTGCCCGACCTCCCTGCAAGCTGCTCTTCCCGAGTCTGCCACGACAACAAGCACTGCTCGTTCGTCGTTCGTGTCGTTAGGGTTGCGGTTAGCTTAGGGGTCCCTTTCTGGCTGGAGAATCCTGAAGGAAGCTGGTGTTGGAAGCAACCCGAGGTCGTCGAGTTGGTCGGGAGCTGCCATGGCTTAGGTTTCTGGGTCTTCGACTGCTGCCGTTTCGGGTGCAAGTGGCGGCGCCGTACACGGGTTCTGACCTCTACAGCTCTAAAGGGCTCGAAGCTGCTGTGTTCAGGTTGTGCCGACCACCTCGTGCTTCGTGGACGTGTAGCTGGTACACTTCTCAACTGGACGAAGGCTGCCGAAAGTCTTCCTCAGCGAGCCTGCGAAGAGCTGGCAAGAGCTCTCTGGACAGATGTTACCAGGCCCGGGGCTTCTGTTAGCAGCTGTGTACGCGACAACGCCGACCGCATCGGCGAGGCAAAAGTGCCGGGTCCCCGCCAGCCTCTCCAAGCACGGACTGGGTCTCTTTTCGACGTCGAGCTCGTCGATCAGAAGACGATCTCGCTTAGGGCCTGTGGGAAGCTTTCGTAGGCTGGCTCAGGGAAAGGCTCTCAAGCGAGGCAACTTTAGCTCTTTTCAGTTGCCCTCCGCTGCTGGCTCTGGTTTTGCGAGACTACGCTGACGAGCTCTACAGGACAGGTGCTTCGCTAGGGTCCTACAGACAGCTGCTGGCTCATGGGCAAAAGCTCCTCCCATTGCTGAGGCCGCATCTTAAACCAGCCTGGGAAATGGTGTCTCGTTGGGAAGAGCTTCAGCCCATATGCCACCGCACTCCTATGCCGGAGATTGTCTTGAAGGCGATGTGCGGCCTAGCTCTGGCTCTTGGTTGGAGACGCTGGGCTGCCGCAACTGCTGGCATTTTCTATGCCATTATGAGACCTGGCGAACTGTTGCGAATGAAGAGAAAGCAACTGTTGACCCCTGTCGACCTCCTCGAGCCTCGCCATCGCTGGTTGTATCTTCGTGTCGAGAAGCCTAAAAGCCGGCGAAAGTCTGCGAAGATTCAGCATGCCAAGCTCGAGGACCCGGTGTGTTTGCAGCTAGCTGCCTGGCTCTGGCAGGACCTCCCTCCAGGTGAGCTGTTGTATCCTGGGTCTCCAGCAGTTTACAGGCGTCGATGGGACGCGCTTCTGGCCAAGCTGAAGATCCCCGCCTCCGTCAAGCTGACGCCTGGATCTTTGAGAGCCGGCGGGGCCATCGCCGCTTTTCAAAAGGGTCTTGGGGTCAACGACTTGCTCTGGAGGATGCGGCTTAAAAGCCTTTCAACTTTGGAATACTACTTGCAGGAGATGTCGGCAATTTCGATTCTTCCATCCCTGGATCCGGCTACCAGACGGAGGATATCTGCTGCTTCTCTCCTTTTTCCGACAGTTGTTTCTGGCGACTTGGGCCGTTGATGGCGCGCTACGCGGCCTCGTCTTGGCTAATGGCCTGATCGCGCCTAGAGGCCGCGACTTTTGAGCCAGCTCTTACTTTCCGCTGGTTGTGAAAAAGACAGGGGACACAGGAGCGCGTGCAGTCATGACTAGCATGACTTCATGTGCGGATGCAGCTTTTGAGGGCCCACCCACCCGCCCGTGGGCCTGATCGCGCCTAGAGGCCGCGACTTTTGAGCCAGCTCTTACTTTCCGCTGGTTGTGAAAAAGACAGGGGACACAGGAGCGCGTGCAGTCATG